CAGCCAGTATTTGTTGACAAAAACCTAAGAAAGGAACATGTGACTAATTTTAAGAAATCCCCAACCAGTGACCAAGAAGCAAATGCAGTGTTTATTGCAAATTGTCGTGGGCAGTTTAGGGGTCTTGCCAAGGACAAATTTGTCTGTTAAATTTTTGCCTTACATGCTAACATTGTTTCATGTCTTGAGTTATTCTACAGTGTTATTTGTAGTAGCTGCCTAATACTTTGTTGGATTGGTATATTTTATTATATCCTCCTCTGGTGAACACTTAGAATGTTGTGAATTTTTCTTTGTTTTTAGCTTTTCTATTTGTTACTTCTCTGGCATCTTTGTAACTATATCTGTGTGCATTCCTACTCCCTTCAGAAGTGAAATTCTCAGCATAGAAAATGTGTGGGGGTGTGTGTGTCAGTGAGTGTGTCAGTGTGTCATTGTTAAGTGGCCCTCCAGAAAACATTGTATCAATTTTGATTTGGTGAATTTTTTATTTTGCTTATGATTAAGATAAGCATTTCGAATTTTGCACACTGACCCTATCAAACCTTTGTAAGTCTACTCATCAGCATCAGACAGTGTTTAGAATTAGGCATGGGGCTTTTGAACAGATCATCTTCCACATGATAAGGGAAGAAATGGCTTTCAGGATGGTGAGTGTCATTACTTTACTCTCCCATGCAATGAGAAGCAGGATTTTCAAAATCCTCTTCAAAAGATATTAGAATCTTCTGAAGAGAGACTCAATAGGTGATAGTGTTATTTTCACATCATCTTCAATACACCAGGGCAGTAAAAGAAGAAGCATTAGCACCTGGAGAGAAAACTTCACTGTCATAGAGTCTACATTAAATCATCAAAGCTCTCTGCTGAGTTAACACCTGTAGTTAAAGATCTCAGCAAAAGAAAAATGTACCTGTCTAGTTATATGCACAGATAATTGAAAAGTCATGACAGATATTATTTTGTGCTGTGTATTTTTGGCACATTTAACAATATCCATTTATTTAGTGATATAATTATTCTGTATGCCTCTCCCCACAATCCAATCCCATAAAGTACTATAAGGAGAAAATTCATGTCTGAAATGTTAGCAAAAATAGTTTGGTTGCATTTTAAAGTGTAATTCCAAAAATTACATAATTGCCAGGATTATTATATTTTAATTATATAACTCTGGAAATTGTTTCTTTATGCATCTCTTAATTTATTTTAATGATTCAAAGCAATAAGATATCAGAGGAAATTGTTGCTGTTAGAAAATTTTATTTTTTTGAAAAATCTTGACATAGTTTTAGAGAAATGCTCTGCAACCCTCAATTATATCAGATATCAGATCATATTATATCACATCAAATTATACCAGATTATATCAGATCAAATGATTTTGCTTGACTAGAATATTTATAGGAAAAACTAATATTCTTTCTATTTAAGATTGCCATAGTCTGATTCTTAGAAGTCTTCGTAACTTGGTAGTATCCTCTCCCTCCACCTCCTACCCATGTCAACCAACACACCCACATGCACGCATTCATGTGCACGTGCGCACACATGCACGCGGCTCTTCTTTAATGTAAAGCTCTGTTCTTATCTGGGTACCTCCACTTCCTTAATTCTTCCTTAAATCATGTTTCATTGGGAAGTAGTGCTGTGTGGGCTAGTAGTCATTCGTAAACCTGCCTGCTGCAGGCTCTCCTAGCAAACTGTCCGAAAGTACAGCCTAAGACTCACCTCCTATGAAATAGACTCTGGGGACAAGGGCCATAATTTTCTTCTATAAGCTTTCCAATCTTCAGATAGCCATTAGGTTTGAATGACCTAGCCTCATTCTTTTTTTTTTTTAATTTAATTTTTTTATTGTGATAACATTGGTTTATAACATTATATAAATTCCGGCTGTACATCATCATATTTTGATTTCTGTGTAGATTACATTATGTTCACCACCCAAATACTAATTACAATCCACGACCATACACATGTGGTGAATCACCCCTTTCGCCCTCCTCCCTCCCCACTTCCCCTCTGGTAACCACCAATCCAGTCTCTGTCTCTATGTGTTTGTTATTGTTTGTTTCTTCTATTTACGAGTAAGATCATGCACTATTTGACTTTCTCCCTCTGACTTATTTTTCTTAGCATAATTCCCTCAAGGTCCATCCATGTTGTCTCAAATGGCCAGATTTCATCATTTTTTTATGGCTGAGTAGTATTCCATTGTGTATATATATACCACATCTTCTTTATCCATTCATCCCTGAATGGGCACTTAGGTTGCTTCCAAGTCTTGGCTATTGTGAATAATGCTGCAGTGAACCTAGGGGTGCATATATCTTTACGCATTCATGTTTTCATGTCCTTTGGATAAATACCCAGCAGTGGAATAACTGGATCGTATGGTAGTTGTATTCTTAAGTTTTTGAGGAATCTCCATACTGTTTTCCATAGTGGCTGCACTAGTTTGCACTCCCACCAGCAGTGTATGAGAGTTCACATTTCTCCGCATCCTCTCCAACACTTATTTCCTGTCTTGTTAATTATAGCCTTTCTGACGGGCATGAGGTGATATCTCATTGTAGTTTTGATTTGCATTTCCTTGATGATTAGTGATGTTGAACATCTTTTCATGTGCCTGTTGGCCATCTGTATATCTTCTTTGGAGAAATATCTGTTTAGGTCTTTTGCCCATTTTTTAAATTGGGTTGTTAGTTTTTTTGTTGTTGAGATGTATGAGTTCTTTATATATTTTGGAGATTAACCCCTTATCAGATATATGGTTTGCAAATATCTTCTCCCAGTTGTTAGGTTGTCTCTTCATTTTGTTGATGGTTTCCTTTTCTGTGCAGAAGCTTTTTAGTTTGATGTAGTCCCATTGGTTTATTTTTTCTATTGTTTCCCTTGCCCAGTCAGACACGGTACTTGAAAATACACTCCTAAGACTGATGTCGAAGAAGGTATTGCCTACTGTTTTCTTTTAGAAGTTTCATGGTTTCACGTCTTACATTCAAGTCTTTAATCTGTTTTGAGTTAATTTTGTGTATGGTGTAAGGTAATGGTCTACTTTCATTCTTTTGCATGTGGCTGTCCAGTTTTCCCAACACCATTTATTAAAGAGACTTTCCTTTCTCCATTGTATATTCTTGGCTCCCTTGTCGAAAATTAGCTGTCCATAGATGTGTGGGTTTATTTCTGGGCTCTCAATTGTTCCATTGATCTGTGTGTTTGTTTTTTTGCCAATACCATGCTGTTTTGATTACTATAGCTTTGTGCTGTATTTTGAAATCAGGGAGTGTGATACCTCCAGCTTTGTTTTTTGTCAGGATTCCTTTGGGACCTAGCCTCATTCTGGAAGTGTAGAGATAAGACCCAGGGTCTAGCTGCAACAGGGAAATGAAATCATAATATGACACTGCTGCTTTGAGAGAACTGCAGATGGCAAATACTGCTGGTGCTTCTTTGCAGATAAAGTACTGGGACCTCAGGAAGGAAAAACAAGGTGCTTTGAATCTTTAAAAAGACTCATCACGTAGAAAAAGAGCCCAGAGCATCTTCCCTTTTTTTCACTCATTCAGCAAATGTTTACCGATTTACTACTAAGCATCAGGCATTGTTCATGGAGTTTACATTCTAACTGGGGGAAAAGATAACAGAAATATCAACAATAACAACAGAATACCATGCAGACTTAAAATGGGAGAATATAAGTTGCCCAGGTAGCTATTTTAGTGTGTTGTGGTCAGGGAAGACCTGGTCTTCAGTGAAACTCAGGAAATTTAAGATGAACTAGAAATGCATAGCCGTACGAGGATCAAGAGGAAAACATCTCAGGGCGAGGCCCAGCTAGCCTTGAAGTGAGAATGAGTTTGGCATGTTGGAGGAGGAAGAGGGCCAGTGTGACTGGAGTAGAGTAAATGAGCAGAGGCAGGTACGGAAGATGCAGGCGAGACAGGCATGTGATTGTGCACAGTCAGGAGGCTAGAGTTGGAAACCAGTTGAAGGATTGTTTTCAGGGAAAAAATGTGATCATCAGAACCTTTTCAAACTGTCCTCTGGCTGCTCTATATAGAATGGATTGCAAGGGGATGAAAGAGGAAGCCTAGAGGATCTAGGAAATTAGGAAAGCCATTCAGTGAGTCATGCCAGAAATGATTTTGGCTTGGACCCTGGTTGTGGTAGAGATGGTGAGAAGTAGGTGTGTTCAGGATGAGTTGCACATTTTACCAGGGTAGTTGGGCATTGCAAAGTAAAGGTGCCTTGACTAGTGACTTGATTAGCAGCCTCAATTGATGCTTTTTCAGTGTTGGCTTGAATGTTTTTAAATAGATCTCTTATAAAATTCTGAAATTCTGACCTATCTTAAAAAACCAACATAGAGCCTGAATTCCCATATGGTAACAGATGTTGAGAGCTGAATGTTGGCTTCCTGTTTTAGGAGATGGGTATACTCTTTGGTTTGCAAAGCCTCCATCTGTCCCCATCGTCTCCCTGACAATGAGGCTGTTGCTGGTTGCCATTTATCGTCAACTTATCCTGTTGTTTTTTTTATGTCATGCTGACTTAACTTATTTACCATACCCTGTAGACCTTTTAGTTTTTTGATCTCACCTCTGGTAGTCTGAAATGAAAGTGGCAAAGAAAAAAAGCTTTAGGGTACCTGTGAACCTCTATATAGCTGTAAAAATAGCCCATTCAGCAGTTTACTAACAATTAAATAAATAGCATTCTTTAAAACCAACTTATGCTGTTTGTTATAAGCCAGGTGGTTACCCTTGGGAGCAATGCCTGGAAACACAAGAAGGACTTTTGCTGTGTTGTCAATGTTTAGTTACACAAGTGTGTTCAGTTTGTGAAAAATGCACTTATGCACACTTACATGTGCACTTTATTTATACTATACTCCATTTACAACTAAAAAACTAATATTTTTTGACTACTTTGAAGTATAAATGTATTCAAGTTTTGAGTGTTACGGTTTTAAAAATCATCTTTTGCTCTTTCAGCCAAGCCAAAGCCATGTACTCCTGTAAAGCAGAGCACAGCCACGAGCTCTCCTTCCCACAGGGGGCGATATTTTCTAACGGTAAATACACCCGTTCCCTTCCCTTAAGTTTATCATCATGGGGAGGATGAAGGAATAGTGTAGTGATAACAATAGAAAGTAGAAGCCAGGAGACTCAGAATCTGGTCCAAGCCCTGACTCTTGTAACCTGCACGAGTGAATGCATCGCATCCCTGTGGAGCCCAGTTTCCACCTGTGAGAAAGAGGAAGGGAGGGGGAGAGGGAGATGATTACGTAAATGCAAAGGAAACTTTAAAGGTGCTGTGACGTTGTTTTGGCAACTTGAGTGTACGCATGCAATCTGATGTGGATTTTTACCCATTTGTATATATAATTATTTGAAGCTAATGTTGATTGAGTGACATTTGCTTTTTATTTTTTTTTTTGCCAGTGTACCCATCAGTGGAACCAGGATGGTTGAAGGCAACTTATGAAGGCAAAACAGGACTAGTCCCAGAAAATTATGTTGTCTTCCTCTAATACTGTTTAGTGGATGGCAGTATCTTCATGGTATCCATGGTAACAAATAATAAGTGCTATGATTGTATCTGACACAGATATGGGGATCAGCCCACTAAATGAAAACGGTCAATTTCTATCATGTTCTACACCAGCAGACTATGTAGCTCCCTATTAATGGAAAAAAAAAAAAGTGTTTAAATTGTTTGCCATTCTTTTTATTTTTTGGCGGGTTTTTTTTTTAAAAATCTTGCCTTTTTTTTTTTTTTTTTTTTTTTTTTAGATAAGTAACTCTCCATAATGTCTCTTCCATAACAATTGTAGAATCTCAAGTACTGTGTTAAGTACCATACCCCAGAAATTTGGAAACCAGAAGTCTGCTAAAAGGATTTTGAAATCTGTGCTTTACTGTCTGGCATTCCCTAAGGAACCTTGAAATCATTGCTTAAAAATGTAATTTAAATTGTTCATTTAATATTTTTTCTTAAAAATATACTGCTTTTGTATATGATTGTTTTGCTGGTCCTAAACATTTCAAGGAAGTAAGTTTTTTTAATGTAAGTTTATTTTTATTTGTGTACCAAGTAGATGATAATATTCAAAAACAATAATGTATATGATATTTGTAAATGAAACCAAATTAAGTCATGCACTGATTCCACTGTAAACACTCCATCCAGCGTTTCAGACACCTTCCAGGGCTTAGAGCGGGGATCAGCAAACTATTTCTGTCTAAGGCCTGATAGTAAATATTTGGGACTTTGAGGCCCTGTCTTCTCCCTCACAATACTCAGCTCTGCCACTGTAGCAGAAAGCAGCCATAGACAATAAATAAACAAATGAACGTGGCTGTGTGCCAATAAAACTTTATTTACGGACCCTGAAATTTGAAAATCCTATAATTATCATGTGTCACAAAATATTCTGCTTCTTTGACTTTTTAAATTTCATTTAAAAATGTCAATGTTTTTAAGCTCATGGGCCATACAAAAACAGGCAGCAGGCCAGATTTGTTTCATGGGTCATGGTTTGCTGACCCCTGGTTTAGAGGATGTGTAAAACTACTTCATAACTTGGGAACTTTTTTGAAATTTTACTACATTAACATATAAATATTGATAAATCATATGCACATATCCTCTGCTGGTAGCATTATAGTGGTATCATAAACGTGTAATTACAATAATAGAAACACAATATAAAAGTGCAGTATGAAGGCATACAACTTCAATTCTACTTGTAACACTGTAAAGTGTCGAAGTATTTTATTGGTATCTAATTTCAGCTTTTGAGAAATTCTTAAGTTTGTGCTTAGTTGAAACAGAATCTAAACGTAAAGGTACAGGATTCTTAAATTATTTTGAACCACAAAGTTTGAAATTATTTCATCACCTTTAGCAGGAATAAAATCTGTACATGATTTTCTTTTATGCCCTTTAATTTACAGCCTTCATTAGGAATTTCACTGAATTTATAGAGCATAGAAATAGGTATTTACTCCCCATTTATATAGACCATCAACATCTGGTCATGCATCAACCTTTTTTTCTATTACTTCTCTTTCAAGAATTCTACTGTATTATTTCTATAAATATCTGCATGTGGCAGAGAGCCTTTCTTCTCAAGATTCCAAAAGGCTGGTTACCTACCATTGATGGCCACAGCGCTGGCCCACTTGGCCAGAATATTTTGCTTGTTACTTCCGAGTTCTCCACTGTATAGATACTCAGGTTTTGACTGTATACAACTCTTTTTATGTGATATTATAATCTGTAATCACAATCTCTTTTACTTTAAATTAATATTTCTAGAGTTAATAGATTAAATTATACGTGCACACATACACACACAACTATGCCTTGGAGCATTTGTGCTTTTAAAATTAAAAATGGAATAATGGATTAGAATTTTAAAATAAAGAGAAAAACAGTAGGCAGAGTCACAACCAAAAATAAATATCAGTGTACTAAAATAAAGAGATGAAAAATATTTAATGTTATAAAAATTAGTAATATAATGAAAAAATCTGATAAAAGTTTGTCTTTTTCTTTTATCTCTTGCTGGTGATCTTTGCACACTATAATCAGGTATTACTAGAGCTTCTTGGTCTCTAGATCCTTGGTGGCCCTTAGTAGTGATAATAGCATTGCTGACACCCTGACTACCCTCTGCTGGAACAGAAGGTAGTCATTCCAATGTACCAGTCCTTTAGTCTATGTAAAACCGTCAGTTTAAGCACCCTTGCCATCATCTGACATCCTACTAGATTAGAACCTCTTAAGGCAAATTGATTTTCTTTCAAAGACCAACTTGACTCCAAAAAGAGATTCAGAATCCTATTTTACTTGCTGCTGCATAAAGAAGGCTCAACCTTCATTTTATTTTAACACAGACCAGAGTGTTCCTGCCTTTGAGTTATCTGTGAGCTAATTCCACTGATGATTGGTGAGGAATTAAAGCTTGTGCTGTGGAGGACATGGGTGTGAAGCCCAGCTCTCCTTTCTTACAGTGAGGCATATGTTTTGGCAGCACTGGCTGTGGTCTCTTTTTTGAAACAAGCTACAAAAGTGCTTGTTTACATTGTGCTTTGGTTTGAAGTTTTAATCCTATACATTTGTGAGAATGGTCCTTTTTTCTTCATATTGATTGCATGTGTAAGCAAGTCATGGCTATATACTGGAGACTGACTAAAGCTGCTTTTCTCTAGAAATAAGTTTCCTACAAATATGATATTTATGAGCATTGGGAAAATCAAGACGTGCTCTAAATTGCGTGAAATATTAATTACACAAGAAGGTAATGCCAGCCATTGGAAGAGGATCACATTCAGAATTGTAAAAGCATTTCAATAATGAAAACTTGGCTTTTCAGAGACGACATGAAAATATGTTAGAATTGCCACACCCGTACCTTCGAACACACAGTATGGGCACCCTAATCACTGCAGACAGTATAATCAGCCTGAGAATGAGATTGAGAGTCTAAGTCAGTCATCTCGTGTGCTGTGTAAAATTATCCCGAGTACAAAGCATCTGTGTATTTAGCAGGTGACTGTTTTGTGCCATAACTCCACCAAGTTTATACTAACTAGTTAGTCAACCGAAGGCTTTTTCTGTTGTGTTATGTGTAAATGTCTGCAAAGTAAAATAATCCTTGGGTTCCTTTGAAATCCATGAAGTATGAGGAAGTACCATTTCTCCTTGTGTGATGTGAGTGGTTTTGCTAGTTGTATTGGCTCTCTGTGCTTTGTAGTGTGAATAAGCGTAACCAGGTTTCTCAACAATGGCTCCTTTGCTGGCTCTTTCAGGGATGGTGGAGAAAAACATGTACCTTGCAATCCCAAACTATCGAGGTTCCCAAATAGGAAAAATAAAGATACATAATGACTTATATTCTTATTCTATGATAATTGGTTTTACATATTGTGGCACGCTTTCTAAAAATCCACTGTGTTGTAAGGAAAAAACCTAGCACTGTAATCCTATGGAGGTAACACCCTGCTAACCTCCTCACTTCCCAGCCTCATTCTTCAGGTCTGTGTCTGATGTGCAGAGGATGTCATTCACGTGGATGCTGGTGTAGAAGAGCCTCCCTCAGAGCCTTTCTTCAAACAACTTCAATTTGCAGTATCAGTTATGTATTCAGGATACCTTAATTAGCATTTAGAACCCCAACTTGATTTATACTTCGTTGACTTAGGTTAGAGGCAGACCAATATAGGAACAGATTTTGTAAAAATCTGTTTTATAAAACCTTTGTAATTTGCAGCTGTTACTATGACCTGACGTCACCAAGTAGGACCCCAAAATCATATCTCCTGGTAAAGAAAAAAAGCAGAGACTTGACTCTTGTCCAGAAGTTATTTTTCTCTTGACTAAAAGGTTTCCCACTTAAGGTAGAAATTGGTATTTACTTCTGCCTTGTACCTTTTTTGGTTACCTTCCAAAATCAGAATAAATGAGGGTAACCTTTTTAAATGGTCTATATCCCACCTGTCTCCTGTTGGTTCACAGACTTTATATCAGGTATTTATCAATGAGTCTCACATCTCCTGAACACGTTCACTATATCCATCCATTGTCCCCAATATCTGCCTGCTTCAAATGTACAAGTTCTGCTTGGTGTAGTAACCTTGGACAGACTCAGGCTTATGAATGACATGGACTTTTAGAGGATCAGGTCAATAAATAAGATTTTCCATTTTTTTAGGGCAGCTGCATGCACTGTTTTAAATAAGGAATCTCAAATAAGAATGTTGACAGCACTCACAGCAAGCCATTGGGCAGAAAACTGATCTGCATATTCTAGACCAATGTTTAGAAGCTGTTGTGTGAGTTAGGGAGCCCAACAGGTCCTCACTTCTCTCCCTGGCCCTCCTGAGAGAGATGCCAAGGTCAGAGGTTGAAGAGTTATTTGTGCTATAGGGAGAAATGAAGTCTGCGTACTTACTGAGGAGTCCCAGAAGGCGGGGGCCATTTACAACTATTACAAACATAAATATCATCCATCATCCAAGATGTTCGTGTGCAGGGCTACGTGAGGAATTTAAATGTTGGAGAGAGGTGGGGACCAAAAGTGCCAACACCTCCTAATTAAATGACCATGACCACTTTCTCCCTTTGTACCATCTGCCATCTTGGCTGTGTTTCCCATGGTCTTTACCCTTCCAGGGCTGAGAGCAGCCCACCTTGGGCTTGTATCCACTTAGCCTCTTAGATTAAAAGTGTGCATTGCTTCGTGTATGGCAGCATGTTAGCAGTTTTATATCTGCCTCTGTATCTTCATCCCCCTCCTTTTACAGAGAACATTGCCTGCACATGATTTATGCTTAAAATTTGAGATAGCACCACATATCGAGGGCTGTGATTTCAAGAGTCTTCTCGAACTCTGAGCTGAAACCTTTACAAATAACTAGGGAGTTTGGCAGGGAAGATGACTGTTTTTTTAATTCAGAATCCTATTTATATAATTAAAATTTGAGGTACTATAGTTTATATAAAAGTTGAATATTTAGATATATTTCAGTACTAGAAATTTCTTTGCAGCTATTAACATGACTAATATGAAAATGTCAGTAAATTATCATATTGAATTTTTTGTTTATTTTGTAGTGTTTCTGTATTTATCTGCACTTTGTGTATATATATCTACACACACACATACATACACAAACATGTAAATAACCTCATGTTATTCCTAATCTAAATGGGTACAATATCTTTAATGAATGTTTACACTGTATTTTCAATTACTTTAAAAATAAACTATGTAAGCATATTTTAATTTAGTCTTTGTATCTGAAGACCTCCTGTGTGGAAGGGCAGCTGTCTTGGATTCATATGGAGAAAACCTGAAGTTTCATGTACTGTGAATGGTCATTTTGGGTGTGGCACATGGAGTGAAGAATCATAGCAGAACTGATAACCTTTTCCTGACAATTGG